GAAAATAATGCCAGTGAAATTTCCGTCAAAATCGATCTAGCTCTTTCGGAGAGTAGCCGGAACAAACAGACAGCCAGACAGGCAAAAATTGTAATTTTATTTGTTAATAAGTAGCGTATATACTTTACTATATTTATATAATGCATATTCATTTAGTAAATAGCTGTTTTTTTGACATTACAAATAGACACTTCAATTTTATTTATTTGTATGGATATGAAGAGCAAACGTATAGTTTGCCCAATTTGTTTCTTGATTTGTTAGTTGGTCCGTTCGTTGGTTCAATTGTGGGCCCGTATATTTGTTCTTTCATTGTTTTGACTGAATGACTGACTAACTGAATGTTCTTATCCAGATTAATGTTTTTCTAATTCTTTGTGACAATTAAAATTACAAATTAATTATTTTCACTTATAACAGTAAAAGTACCCATTCTACGTGAACAAGGTTGCGGGAACTGCTAGTATATAATACATATTACAATCGAATCTTGGGCCCTCACAGCTTTTGCACAGCAAATTGAAAACGACCCGGGAAAAATAACTTATAATATTATGATTTATAACCTTTAGAATTGGTGTTATAATATTATAAGTATATCGTCCTTAATTTAAAAAACAAAATCTCAATTTGTGTATCTAAAAATAATGAAAAACGGAAACGGAAACGCTATACACTTTCTGGAGCGCAGAACCTTTTTCAATTAGGTAGAGTTAGCGTTAGCCTTCTGTTTATAAAATTGAACTTCAAGTGTTTTTTTATTTACTTTTTAGGAATATATAACAGAAGCCTGCATGTTCAATCAAATATATTTCAACCTAAAACACTGGATCACAAATAATTAATCTACAAAACGTGTTAAAATCTGCCAACACTGCACTTTGCACTGATAAATGTGCAGCTGTGAGATGCTAGTGGGCTGTTTATAATTGACATCACATCTAAATTCTTAACAGTGACAATCTATCTCTATGCCTTATTGACAAAACATTAATTACCTGTTTCCGATATATAATATCATAATTCCTTGTAGCCGAAAATTTCTTATTATGTGATCAACCTAAAGCCGATATCCACTGACACAAATGATTATTAAATGTATAATATAAAAAAAAAAAAATAAGTGCTGATTTACCATGTGCTGAGCGGTGATAAAAATATTGTGAGAAAACCTATACGTCTGACGAATATAAATAATTTTCGAGGGCATTTGAAGTCCACCAACACATACTGTAGCAGTGCGGCTGAGTAATTGCTCTACGACCCTCTCAAAAATGAGAAGAGGCCTGTGCTCAGCATTGGCACGTATAAAGTCTGTAACTTCGCTTTTCCTTTAACAAACAAATTATTCATTCGACAACTCGAGAAGGCTTTAAAAAAAAACATCAAGCTATTTGTAAGTTCTAGAACCAGTATTTTGTTTTATTATTATTTCATGAATTATTACACTGTTGAGCGATACATAAAGTAATAAGAAACATTTTTAAAATACAAAAACCAGATATGAGGTGTGTGTGAGTTTTATTGCCAAAAAAGGTTAAGTTGCCGTCGACAAAACTGCCTAAAACCAAGTAAAATGAAAAAAAAAAAATAAGGTGACTATTTATCATTTCGTGTGTGTAGTTAGAGTAGACTGTGGGAACTGCTGGAAAGTATCGTCCAGGTTTAGCGTCAAAAGATACGATCGCCAATCCGACCAATAACCGAGGCGGTTATGGAAAACTACTGCGTGAGTGACCTAAGTCCACCATCGGACTGTTGCAGCTTAATAATGAAAGAAAAATATGAACTGAAGAGAAAATGTTTGAATTTTCAATAAAATTTTTCATTAATTACATTACACGATTCAGTGATAATGTTACTCCACAACTTCTTTCATTGCCTCGTAAATTTGGGGAACGAAAAGACAATTACAAGAAAGGGACAAGAATATTGGAAGGTTTCCGACTACAATGACAGTAAAAATTGTCTAACTGAAAGGGATTATTGAATTTCCTTTGATGCCGTTGATGAAAAATTATAATGTATTAATGTATAATAATAAGCGCTTCATTCTGCAATTTATTAATATTTATGGATATTGGTTACATAAGAGAAATATATAAAAACGTAGGAATTTAGAACTGAATGTCAAGATATTATATTACATAATAAATAAACCTCTTATGCGGATATATGAAATAAAAATACGGTGAATTACTTCCTACATAATGACGGGTTTATATAAAACATTGATTTTTTTTCATTTTTTACCCCTTTTTTATGATTTTGAGGATATTTACAAGTAGACGAAAAGGTCAAGTCCATTAAATTTTCATAGATAAACTCTGTTTGTTTTGAAATAACTGTTAATTTGCTGGAATAGTTACGCATCCATGTAATTTAATTCTTATTTTACACTCGTATCCTGACCGTATCGCCATATTTTTAGCAATGGACTTGTGCTGGGGTGATAGTGATTCTTTACAAGCATGGCGTTTGCCTCCCATAGGAGAGCCCATTCATGCTGCAGCCATTATATTCTGTAGCGTGTCGGTAAGGTATTTGACATTTGTGGTAAAAACTATTATTATGGTTTCTTCTTTCTTTTTTCCTTTTTGAATCTTCTTTGTTAGTTTATAATAGGCCATTGACTTGAGCCTTTCTCATAGTAGGTAGGATTGGCATAATCGCTAGGTCTTGTAAGCGCTTTGATTGTAACAGTAATAATAACATTCTTCAGACCGAATTGCGGTCATCCCAGCCAGCCATCGGCGCAAGATAGGAGACACAAGACACATCACGCTCTACACCCTTACTCTCGTAGTGCAATGAGACAATTATCAAAGTACTAGATGTATCACCATGCATGCCATGTAGTGGCGGTTAAGAATATCCACTACCCCATATCTTCACGTGGGTGTCGTAAAAGGCTACAGAGGGAAACAGGCAGGAGATGGGCAGCAGCATCTTCCTGATAACAGCACCTGTACGACAAAGAAAAAAAACTGCGGTTGCCAACCCGCTCGCCAAGCGTGGCAACTATGGCAATATACCCCCCCATGAACAATAACACAAATAGACGGCCCCCAGTTCCCGGCGGCCCCGCTATTCCTGGCTACGGTGGCGACCATGGTAACGGCGGCGCAGGGGGTGCTAAGAATCTCCAGTGGAGGTTCGGTTGCCACCTACGACGACTCGACCTGGCAACATTTAACGCACGCACCCTGAGGACTGACGAGAAGATCCTGGAGCTGGAAGAAGAGATAGACAAGTTGCGCTGGAATATTATAGGATTATCCGAGGTCCGAAGAGATGGGGGAGGACATGGTGATTCTCGAATCCGGCAACTTCTTCTATCACCGGGAGGGTGACCACCTGTCCTAAGGAGGTGTTGGATTTATCGTCCACAAGTCTCTCGTCAACAACATTGTAAAGATTGGGAGTGTGTCGACGAGGGTCGCGTACCTGATACTCAGAATCACTAAACGGTATTCGCTGAAGGTCATACAGGTTTACGCACCATACACCACACACCTCGGCACATCCCGATTAGGAGGTGGAGGAAATGTATGAGGATATTTCCAAAGCCATGCATTCCTCCAAAACCCACTACACGGTATTGATGGGAGACTTCAAAGCAAAACTAGGCACAAGAGAAAACGGTGAGCTGAAGTTAGGGAAATTTTGAGTAGGGCAACGGAACCGAAGGGGCCAGCAGGTGGCCGACTTTATGGAGAAAGAGGGACACTTTATGATGAACTCTTTCTTCCAGAAGCGGCCCCACAGGAAGTGGACCTGTGCTCTAATCCAGAATCCTGAAAACTTTCAGCCCGAGTTACGTAGTCGCTTTCAGTGCCTACAAGATTGCAATGCAGTGGACGATATGAATGACAAGCTCGTGGAAACTGTACATGCGGTCGGAGCTAAGTTCTGCAAGACCCACCGTAGAAGAACACAAAAACTCTCCAATCAAACAAAACGCTCTTAATCTCATGGCTGTTAGACGGGAGATGAGGCTGCAATCATCAACAGATTTGGCAGCATACAGGCAACTGAATAGACAGATCTCCAAATGCATGCGGCGAGACTTACGCAACTTTAATACTGCTCGTATTAAAGAAGCGATCGAGCGGAACCAGGGCTCTAAAGTCTTTATCAGAGATCTGTCAAAGCTGAAGACTGAGTGTGGCAGCATCGTTTCCGGGACACCTGAGATTTTGAGTGAGATTGAGAGGTTCTATTGGCAGCTGTACACATCATCGTTGGAGCCATACGCAAGTGTGAGTAACGATCCAAGAGCAAGTCTTATCCGACACTATTCCGATGATATCCCGGACGTCGGACCCGGACGGAAGTAATCCACAAAGCACGGTCCTGAGCCACCTGCATCCGTCGACTTCCTGCATATCTTACCAGGTCGTCACTCCATCTAGTGGGGGTCGCCCTACACTATGCTTACCGGTACGAGGCTACCACCATGAACAATTACATAAATATGTATATATATATATATATATATATATATATATATATATATATATATATATATTTATATATAAATACATATTTATATATATATATATATATATATATATATATATATATATACATATTTATGTAATTGTTCATGGCAAAGTGACGACCTGGTAAGATATGCAGGAAGTCGACGGATGCAGGTGGCTCAGGACCGTGCTTTGTGGATTACTTGGGGGAGGCCTATGTTTAGCAGTGGTCTTGTGAAGGGCTGAAATGATGATAATGATTTATATACATAGTATTATATCCTGTACAGATGGCTAGTCTAGGTTGAGACAGGCACCATGACCGAAATTCGGCCTAAAGGACATTATATATATATATATATATATATATATATATATATATATATATATATATATATATATATATATCTATATATATATATATTACTTGAGTGGGTATATGGCTTCGTAACACTTATGTCGGTACCTACAAAGTTTCTATTATACTCACTTTCTTTCCATTGTTAACACAGAATGATGAGTTATTGTGAAGGTTAAGCGCACGATTCATTGTTTGTTTACATTATAATCTTATATTATCTTCTTTTGTTTCTTCTCAATTTTTTCACAGATGACTTGGATGAAGAGCCTGGCCCTTCGCATCAAAGGATTTGTAGCCCGTCTTCGAACTGTACTTCGACTTTGAGCGACTCTAGGGAGAGAATAGTGGCGGAAATGGAGCGCATGTTTGACAGCGATGACTCTGATAAAGATCCCACTTATAACCCCGATCCAAGCTTTTTAATACAATCAGAGGATTTATTTGGAGAACAATGGGCGAATAACAAGGTTGAGAACTTAGAAAATGTTATGCGATTCTATGGAGACGATCATGACGAAGATTTTCAACCTAACGACGGCGACGTTATTATCGCACAGGTGTTGCCAACATCTGATGCACAAAAAGTCGTAATATCTCTTTGGGGACTCTTATTGAAAGGAGTATTCGATGCTACTCGGAAAAGGAAACGTTGGATGAAACCAGAACCTGAAAATTGGAAAGTAAATATCGCGAAGAAAAGACGATCTGAAAGTTTAACTTATTCAACGCGAAAAAAAGATAGGAGTGCTAAAACACCAAAAGAGGTTGACTGTGAGAAATGTTTCTATAAATGTAGTGTGATCTCTCCTGAAGAAAGAAATAATTTATGTCGTCTCAAAAGAATTTCATTCTCGGTAATGTGGAAGTAGATACTCCGAAGAGAGTTCTAGCTATTCGTGGACCAAAGAAACAGCGTCAATTCACAAAAAGATGTTTCTTTTTTCACAACGGAGAGAAGAAGCAGGTATGTCAGAAGTTTTTTTGTTACACGCTAGCTATTTCTCCGACTGTTGTGAATGATGCTATTCGAAAGCTGAATGATATGGGGCTATACAAGGATAGTGACAAGAGAGGTAAACATTAACCCCCTAATAAGACTAATGAAGCTGATGTAAACTTTGTGAAAAAACACATAGAGTCCTTCCCTGTCATGGAACCACACTACGTAAGGCAAACTTCTAAGCGTCGTTATCTGGATGCTTCGTTATACATCACGAAAATGCATCGACTTTGTAAAGACAAGTGCACTGAAAATAATATGATTCCGATATCTGAAATAACGTACAGAAGAATATTTTGTACCCATTACAAATTTAGTTTTTTTGTTCCAAAAAAGGATCTATGTTTAATATGCTCCAATTTCAACAAAGCTAGTGACGACGAAAAACTAGTTTTGAAAGAGGAATACAAGGATCATTTAGCAAGGAAAGCGTCCTGTTACTCGGAAAAAGCGAAGGACAAAGAAAGAGCAGAGAAAGATAAATAGTTTCGCTGTGTAACATTCGACTTACAAGCTGTGTAACAGATACCTTCTGGACTGGTGGGACAGCTTTATTATTATCGAAAACTATGTGTTTACAGTCTCTGTATATACGAAGTAGCGCTACCAAACGACGCATATTGTTTTTCTTGGTCCAAAATTAATGGGAAACGAGGCAGTTCCGAAATAGGAAGTGTCCTGTACCACTACCTTTCCACGTGCATTCCTTCTCATGTAACCGAAGTTTGTCTGTATTCTGATATGTGTGGAGGACAAAACTGGAACCAATATGTTGCTGCATTACTTATATTTGCAGTCCAAAACATTTTTCACTTACGAAAAATTTAACATAAGTTTCTTGAATTAGGACACAGTTACATGGAGATATATATATATGGAGAGATACGAATTTATTTATTTAATTTGCACGGTACTTTCAATAAACTTCGAGTCAATTCCCTCTACTCCACCCATTGAGCTATTATTTACTACGTACTAGAGGCGACACTGCATTCAGCTACGTACTATGTTCCACTCAACTGCGGTGCATAAACCGCACTTTAGTCAGTCACTCGCTAGGCGCTTGTAGAGTTGACACGTGTTGTGTTGATTTAAAAAAAATCTCGTGATAAAAATATGCCGTCGTTCGTACTTATATATTGCACTAAATTTAAGAAATGTCAGTAACACCCAAGGAATTACTTTTCATCGGTTAATAAGATACTTAATCAATAAAAAAGCATTATAGATTAATAATAAAATAAATTATTCCTAAGACACCATCTCGTGTCATGGAATATAGATTATGAAATTAATAATATGTTCAGATGCGACATTTCTGTGGGTACTTAAGTATAGGACGAATATATTATTATACACATTTTTTGTAGAAACATATTATATAAGTTATTATAATTAGGCTAAATTTTTCATATTTAAATCTGCTTATTATTCTTTTATTTTATTTTTGGGTTTCCACATAAAAGTCAAAGTGGAATAAATTCGTTTATTTTAACTCTCGCGTGCCCAGCATTTATGAACGACTCTTATTCTAATTTAAATTAATATATTTGTAATTTAAATGTTATGTTAATAAATTTTGTTTAAAATACATTCAGTATAATGATTTCTTAAGTTTACGCGAACACTACACATTGAATAAAACTATTATTTACGGATTTTATCGCGTTTAATTACAACTTTAACTTTAACGCCTAAATAAATAAATAAGTAAATTGTAAAATAATAATTAATAAATGAATTGCGTAAATCGGACCAAAAATTAATATAAAAAACTGGAGGTAGCCGGACTAACTATGACATTGGGATGTCAAACATCTCAGTCTACCCCGTGACCACGGGTATCTTTATTATTAGAGATGGGCCGAGTATGCATTTTACCGAATACGAATATTCGGCCGAACGTTCGGTAAAAATTTTACCGAACCGAATATTCGGCCGAACATTATTCGGCAGGATCATCTCGGTACCTAACCAAGTTACGTCGAAACTTGTTACCACATAGCGCGCAGGATTAGCGCCAGATTCTGCCCCTTGCTTCCCGGCCACACATGACATGTTATTGCATCAACTACTACTGTGCAAATTGCCGGCACATGCTTATGTTTTGACTATTTTTGTGAGAAAAAAAGTATTTAGTTGTGTTATTATCAGTGAAAATTGATAATTATATGATCATAATAATGAATTCCAGAAGATCTACTATTTGGACTTATTTTAGATAGACTAACTGAAGTGTAATGTTCTAATATAATGTAACGTTTTTTTTTGTTAGATTCCTAAAACATTTTGTCAAGCTTTATATATATATATATATATATATATATATATATATATATATATATATATATATACACTAGCTTGCCAGGCAGACGTTGTTCTGCCCTTTTCGACGACCCTTTGTCATGTCCTATTATTAGATTTTAATTATTTTTGATTAAACTCGCAAAAAAAATTGTGGGTCACTCATCGGCAAAAAAAAAACTATCCTATCTCTCAAGTTGGACCAAACTGCATACGGTGTACAAAGGGGGACGCCCATTTTCGGTCATGGAACGCCCAACAATGTGAATTTGTTAAAAAATTATATCTTTATTTATGGTTATTAATCGCGGTATTCATTTATCCTCAAACAATGGGAATATTTTTGCACAAATTAAAAGTACCGGAAACATAATAATAAAAATTAGGTAAATCATTATGTCATTAGTTTGTGAATAAAAAAAAGTGTTGCCAATCACAAAACACATTTAAAAAAATCGATTCTCTTTTTCGATCGATTATTTACGGTGTCATCATTACAGTGCTAATATAATTTTTAAATAATTATGATGTTACGATAATTAAACGAGCGAATTACTAGCTGATTTCTAATGAATTCTTTAGAGAGTAACAAATGCTACGGCACAATTTAACTGTTAATCTTAACCGATCTTCTTTGAAAACAGATAAGAACTGTTATTCTTATCTGTTTTTAAAGAAGATCGGTTAAGTTATTCTTATCTGTTTATAACAACACATTTAAAATAGAATCATGTTATGATAACGAAACAAGTTAGTTTCCAGCTGATTTAGCCAAGCGCCAAAGTCGCCTATACTTGACCAACACCTGCGGGCCCTGAGCGCCAACGACGTCTATAGTTGACAAAAAACCCGGCTCCGAAAAATATGAAATATAGATATTGGAAAATTATTACAGGTATTTTAATTCTACACTCCTCAAAATAGGAATAACCCAGCAACATGTGAGTATAAAAAACAAGTCTTCTAGAGCCACAAGTACTAAGAAACATTGAACTAATAAAAATGGATTTTTATCTAAGCAAATACTATGTCCAGCACGCCAAAGTCGTCTATGGTTGACCGCTAGTGTCAAACGCGGGAGGCATAGATTTCTTGAAAACTATCCAAAATTCAGCTCAATGGTGTTTTTTTTTTCTATTATTATTGATATTTGAATAAAATTAAAGGTTATAAACATAAAACTATAATTAGCTACATGAATAAAAAAATGTTATCAGATTATCTTCGCATAATAAATCTAATATCTCAACTCTAGCGCATCTTTAGCGCGTCATCGAAAATCAGTTCACTGGGCACCGTGATCAAGGATAGACGACACCCTGATGACGTCATAAGTGATTACCGAGAAAAGTAGAGCAATGCGACATGAACGATTCCTCAGAACTCATTCGGATTTTGGAAAGCGTCGATGATGATGAATTTTGATTTTTGATTGATGAATTGAATTTTTTGATTGGTGAACAAATATGTTTATTTATTCCATGACCAAGATTTTAGTATTATAAGGCTGATTTTCCTAGTGCGAATAATTATATACAATTGTTGATTATTGAATAATTATGTACCTTTTTTAATAATAATACAAAATTACAATTAATGTTTTTTTTACTTAGGGTGTGAAGAGCAATTTTTCATTTTGTGTTGTGCAATTTTCTTTCTCAGTCTCAAAATCATCTAGCAGCATCAGCATCATATCAAATCCCCATTGTCATAAGAGTGTAAGACTTTTCTTCTGTGCGTCACTTGGCCTACGCCTTCCCCGACACATAAAATATTATGAATCGATGTCTGTATATTTCGGTTAGATCGATTTTGAAATCGATACACAACATTCTAAGAATGTTTCAAAAGGGAAGGTCAGCTACGCCGTTGTCGTCCAGTCGCGACAGTGTCGTTATTAGGATGGAGAGTAGTGCTAATTTTTACTACTATTTTATTGTTATTGTTTGTTTTTTATTTATGTTTATACGTAAAAAGTACATATATAAAAAGAGTGGAAGACGGCACAAGATTAAATAAAACATACAGTTTATTAATAGTCATTTATAGCATAAAAAACCAACAAAAACAAGTTATTTTCACGTTATCGATATATCAACTCTTGGCAACACTATTTTGTTTTGGCGCTTTGGCGTACAGGACACGGTAATGCGATTTTGGCATGGCGCTCAAAAGGTTAAAGATTAACAAAACGCAACTGCACAATTTTTATCAATTTCAAGACAAAAACAACCGTTGTTATCGGCTTGGTTGAAAACGTTAACAACCGCCTTCACATCTGTAGTTATGATAATTAAATAAGCGATTTAATAGCTGATTTACAATGAATTCTATGCAGTATAACATAACGCTACTGCACAATATAACTGTTATTCTTATCTTTTCTTAACAATACATTTAAAATGAAATCATGTTACGATAATTAAACAAGTGAATTTCTAGCTGATATACCATGAATTTTTTAGAGCTTCATAAAACACTACTGCACAATTAACTGTTCTTAAAAATACACTTAAAATAGAATTTAAATAAAAAAGGAAAATACATTTTAAAAAAGCGAGCAGAAGTTAAAACACCTCCAAGATTATTCTCTTTTTATGAAATTATTAATCGAATAATAATCGAATCGCTATGGATATTATGATGTTATGATAATTAAACAAGCGAATTACTAGCTGATTTACTATGAATTCTTTAGAGTACAATAAAATGCTACTGCACAATTTAACTGTTATTGTTATCTGTTTTAACAATACATTTAAAATGGAATCATGTTATGATAATTAAACAAGTGAATTTTTAGCTGATTTACCATGAACTGTTTAGAGCATAACAATACGCTACTCCACATTTTAACTGTTCTTAAAAATACGTTTAAAACATAATTTAAAAAAATAAAAGAAAATATTTATTTTAAAATGCGTGTAGAACTGAAAGCGAAACTCAAATATTATTATTTTTTCATTAAATTACTAATCGAATACAAATCGATATCGTTTCGTTGTATTTATGTTAGTTATGTGGCAACATCAAATCTGACAGCTATAGGAAATATGTCATGCGAAATGAAATCACAATTCAACAAGTAAAAAAGGTACTAGTGAATTCACAACTAAATAGTTGCCATTGTGTTATTTTGTTTGTTATTTTTCAAATAAATTCTCAAGAACTCATATGGAGTG